TTTCACAATTTGAGTTGAATTACTGAAATAAATTAACTTTTCCACGGCATTCTAATTTATTGAGATGTACCTATATATACATCATGTTTTATTTCAGGAATATCACGATTGACGATTTTATCACGATTCTCTGCCATGTTGGTTTTACTAATTTGCAAGTTGTCTGAGCATTAAAGCCAACCCAATTTCTCTATTTTAAAAACAAAGCCTTGCAAGGCCTCACAATTTGAGTTGAATTACTGAAATAAATGAACTTTTCCACGACATTCTAATTTATTGAGATGCACCTGTATTCAGCCGATTTTACAACACATGTTGTTTTCATTTCTCATGTGTCTCAGCAACAAGGCGCATGTTTCTGCATGAGTTTGTTGTGATCGGAACAACTGAAATGTCTGGTAGTGTGTGATCCTCAATCATGTAGTGTATGATGGCCAGTTTTTCTATTATTTTACTATTTACAAAGTCGGTAAATGTATGATACCTAGTGTTTTAAAAATCTGTTCAGATTTTAAAAGTTGTGTAGTGTATTCCAGCCTTTGGGTGATGGTTTACCCATCTCTCTGGCCTGTCTCCCATTTGTTTTAGATGTTAAGAAAATCTCTCTCTGGTCTAGGGCAGATCACCAAAATAGGCAGAAGTTCACCTCAAGAATGAAACAAAGTGGTGTTGAAAACACGCTTTCTATATAAAGCATACAGACTTAATTAGAGCCACAGAAAGCCTCATTGTCCGAATTCACTCATTAATTTTCATTCACTCCTTCAAGCTGAACTATATTAGGGGACTAATGTATCCAGCATTAGGGAAAAAACCAATGTCAGCTGTTCATGAACTGTAAAATATCTCACTCCAGTGGATGAAACCTGAGATGCTGATGCAGGATCTACATATTCTTAATAGCAACCTCTGTGAGTAGCTAAAAGAGAGAAACCAGAAATGTATTCATTTATACTCAGTTAATCATATAGGTTAATAATTTTTCTTTCAGCTATTCCTTTTAATAATATAATCATTTATTATACATTTTAATAATTTAATCATTTAATATATTTCTTAATATATTATGTGTTATTTTGTAGTGCGTGCTATTGTTGTTTAATCTAGCGGTGATTGTTCACTGCAGGTGCAAAACTGTAGTGCCGCTAGTTTCATTTAGTGTATTGCCAATATATATATATACATGAACACATATACACGCAATTACAGTTGGAAAAGGAAAGCTTTGTTTCTGAATGCCCAAAATAAATATATTCTTTCAGTTTAGTAAACTTTTCTAAACCCTACCAGTATAATCACAATGAAAGTATCCAAACTGTATATGGCAACTGCATTGCATCCAGTGTGTAAACAATATGATGTACTCCCCAAATCCAGCATAAACTCTGCATATTTTTAAATGATTAAGACAGACATCACTACCTGAACCTCACAGTGATTTGCTGCCGCACACATTTTTTGCTTGATATTTGCATAAAGTGGATCTAATATTTCTGACTTGGGATTCAATCTAACAGTGATCACAATGACACTTATAAATCACAACTAACAGTTTGGAGAGAGTTTTAAAGGAAGCTTTTATTTACTTTGGGTGTTGTATTCATTTAATTATCTGTTACATGATTACTGTAATCTGAACATTATTCTGAAATTACACTGTATTTTCTGGTGACAACTGTTAACATTTTCTGGTGACTAAACAAAAAAAAAACAAAAAAAATTAATTAATAAATAAAATTCCTCATTAACCCAGATCATGTGATGATGTTAGTCCTTTATCACTGAGATTCTGAACAGTAACCAAAATAATGCATTTTACAAACCATTTAACAGTTTGTAGAGAAATATTGTTCACCATTAAAAGTGTTCCTCACTAAACAAGCTGCTCCTGCATAAGCACCACCATCACACATGCTAAATTTTAAACTATATAATTGCTTTCTACATATTGAGTAATTATACTAAGCATGTAGAAAGTGATTTTTAACATAAGTAATACAAGAACTTTTCCATGTGCCAATATTAATAATAGATATATATGATGGGCACTTACGCAGAAGACTTACGGTCTTCAAATTACAGATCCAAGAGATAACACATAAATCGAAAACAAAATTGGTCCTAATATGGAGCCCTGCGGAACACCACAAATAATTGTATAGGCCATAAGGTGAAGCCGTTTTTTCGTTTAAACCCGTTCCCATACATGGAGCACTAAATTATTTTCATTCCAATAAAAATATCTATTGGTTTTGAGTGAGAAAATAAGTTCTCTATGTGTAATCCTGCAGTTTATTTTTTATTAGAGTTTAAAGTCGACAATAGTTCTTTCCTGGTGTAATCGTATTTTGATCGCGAGTGATGAGGCTTCGTGTCACGTGCTTCCCGCTAGACCAATAAGGTGGCCACTTTTCGGAACGACATGTAAACATGAGTCCAAGATGTCTGCGCCCTTGTCGTCACTACGAGTAGTGAAGAAGAGGAACTTACGCCAGACCTCGTTCAAAACTATGTCAAATGTATTTTAAACAACGCTATAAGCCTCACAACGCTATAATCTCACATCCATAAACAAAGAAAAAACAAAGGATTTTACACGCACATGGTGGATATATTCAGAAACAGCGTTAACCAGTGGCTTGGCTTCCAGGATAAGAATCAGAAAATAGCAGAGACATACAAACATTTTCTCTACTTTGTGCATACATTTTAAGAAAATGGACAAGTACATTACTGTGGCAGGCAAACACCAGAAGGACCATCTTTCACAGGCAGAAATGTTTTCAGCAGGTACATAAAAACAAAGTACACACACGTTTGAACTGTTATGCCATATGCTGGGTACCATGGCTACCTTTCAATTAGACTATTTATTTAATAATTATTGTACAGTCAGAGTCAGATTTGCATGTTGATATTTTGCATACAGCTACAGCCAGAACACTCAGTATTGTTTAACTGCAAACACAGTTTTTCATTTAATGGTTATTATTTACAAATTAATTTCATTATAGTTTTTTTTTATTATTATTTATTTACAGGCCAGATGCTGAAAGTGATAGGCTGAGATGAAAGAAGATTCTGTGCCTCTGGAGGTGCGATACCACAAGTCCTGTTACAGACAGTATACCAGGGGCCCGTTTCAATAAGTTGAAACTCAAACTCTGAGTTTGACTTACCCTGAGATGGGAAACTCTGAGTTTTCGGTTTCAGAACAGCTAAATTGTGCTAGTTCAGTCGACTCTGAGTAGGTTGACTGAGTTTAGCGTGTGCACCATGACTGTGAGAAGTCATGATCAGTCATGCCAGTGCTCCTGTGGCTCAGTGGTAGAGCATTGCGTTAGCAGCGCAAAAGGTTGTGGGTTCGA